GAAAACTTTAAATGACTTCCAAAAACTTTTGGGTAACATTAATTATTTAAGACCTGCTTTAGGTATTCCGACCTATGAGCTGTCTAACTTGTTTTCTACACTGCGGGGAGATTCCGGTCTCCGCAGTCCCAGGACTTTGACCCCTGAGGCTTTACTAGAACTGGAATTCGTAGAGGAAAGAAACCAGACCGCCCAGTTATCTAGAGTACAGCCGTTTCAGCCTTTTCAACTTCTGGTTTTTGCTTCATTACACTCCCCTACTGAACTAATAGTTCAACATAATGATTTAGTGGAATGGTGTTTTCTTCCTCATTCTGTGTCAAAAACTTTGTCTGTTTATCTGGACCAAATAGCCATATTAATTGGACAGGCTCGGTGTAGAATACTTCAAATTTCTGGATTTGATCTGAATTTAATTGTAGTTCCTTTAAATTGACTCAAAGTTCAAACCGCCTTTCAACATTCCATACTGTGGCAAATTCACTTGACTGATTTCATTGGCGTTGACAATCATTATCCAAAGAACAAATTGTTTGATTTTATAAAAATGACGTCTTGGGTGGTCCCTCGATTAACCAAAGATCAGCCCATTCCTGAGGCCGTTACAGTGTTCACTGATGGCTCCAGTAATGGCAATGCTGGTCACGTAGGCCCTACAGACAAGCTTATTTCTACCTCTTATACTTCTGCTCAAAAGGCAGAGTTAATTGCTGTGATTACTGCCTTACAGGATTTCCCCAAACCTTTAAATATTGTCTCTGATTCTGCTTATGTTGTACATGCCACTAAAAATATAGAAACTGCTACTATCAAACATATTGATAATTCTGAATTGGCTTCTTTATTTTCAAGGTTACAACAGGTGTTTCGGCAACTAGACACCCTTTCTATATTACACATATTAGATCTCATACCACTTTACCAGGACCCATGTCTGCCGGTAACCATAAAGTCGACTGTTTGATCTCTTTTGCAACCCAAGAAGCTCAGGAGTTCCATAATCTCACTCATGTCAATGCTGCTGGATTAAAAGATAAATTTGCTCTTACCTGGAAACAGGCTTAGTTTATTGTTCACAGCTGTCCTCAGTGCCAAGTTTTTATACTTCCAAATCAGGAACCTGGCGTTAATCCCAGAGGCCTAACTCCTAATGCTTTATGGCAAATGGATGTAACTCATGTTAGCTCCTTTGGCAGACTGTCATATGTACATGTTTCTGTAGATACCTTCTCAGGTTTTATCTGGGCTACTTGCCAAACAGGGGAAGGCACGGCCCATGTTAAAAAACATCTGTATTCTTGCTTTGCAGTTATGGGGCTTCCATATCAAATAAAGACAGACAACACCCCCGGATCTGTTAGTAAGGCTTTTGATTTATTTATGCAACAGTGGGGATTTCCCATATTACTGGAATCCCTTACAATCCTCAGGGACAGGCTGTGGCGGAACGGGCCAATCACACTTTAAAAACCCAATTGTCCAAAGAGTCTGAACAGCAAAAACATGATTTAACTACCCCCCACTCGCAGTTATATTTGGCATTGTTTACATTTTTTAAATGTTCCTAAAGATAATAATCTAACTGCAGCCGAATGCCATTATACAGGCAAAAAATTCTCCCTAAACGAAGGCAAGCCAGTGTTATGGAAAAACTCCCAAATTAATACCTGGGAACCTGGCACAATTATAATATGGGGAAGAGGATATACTTGTGTTTCACCAGGAGATCATCAATCCCCTGTCTGGGTACCCACCAGGAGACTCAAGCTTCGGGTGAATACTGACAACGAAAACCACATGGAAAAGACGTCCATGTCAGAGACCGCCCTCAGACGTGGTGAGATCTGTGCCAACTCCTCAGAAGCTGGCACACCAAATCACAATGGGTCTGATTCAGTCCTCCCTGATGGCAATGGAGACCCATCTAACTAATCCCACTTCTCCTGATTACCTTTCTTTTTCTCCTTACAAACCTAAAAATCTCACCATTTCTATTAGCCTGAAAATAACATCCCTCTGTTCTCTTCCTCCTTCAGCTCTCAATCTCACTTACACTAGGTTTTATTTAATGATTCTCCTCCTTATACTTTCTGTCTCACCAGTTTCCTCTCACACTGATTTACCTGCTACACAAAATTATTCTTACTGGACTTATGAGCCTTTTCCTCCATTTATTCAACCTCTCACCTGGATTGATGCTTCTGCAGAAATCTACACTAACAATAGTGTGTGGATGCCTGGAGCTACAGATGACCATTGCCCTGCTCAACTAGGAGAAGAAGGCACTGCATTTAATGTTATCATGGGTTATAAATACCCACCTCTGTGCCTCGGACATGCACCTGGTTGTATCTATCTAGAAACTCAAGTCTGGGCTGCTTATCTTCCGGAGAGATCAGTTACAGAGGAACCGGGACATTTGATCTCTGGCCTCTCCCTTTCTACTTTAAAACAAATGAAAGGGGGAGTAATGGGAGATATCCCATACTTTCAATATAAACCTGCAGGAAAACCATGCCCTAAAAATTTTGAGGGCCCATCTAAAACTTTAATTTGGGAAGACTGTGTTAACTCACATGCAGTAATATTAAAAAATGACTCATATGGTTTAGTAATAGACTGGGCACCAAAGGGCTATTTAAAAAACAATTGCTCCTCTGGCGGAAAGGAATGCCTGGAGGCTACTTATTTTATTTCTTATTGGGAGAACGAGAATCATCATTCTACTTTGCATAGGAGGTTCAGCTCATTCTTTCCCTTAAAATGGGAAGATAAAGGCATTACCCGCCCACCCCCCCACCCCCGCCCAGGCCTCGTATGATACTCCCCATTCTGAGCCCAGAACACCCAGAACTTTGGAAATTGGCTATTGCCATGTCTGGACTGCGAGTATGGGAAGGGGAAACTATTCTGTTTGTTTTTCCCGCTACCGCCCCCATCTCTCAGTATCAACGTAGATCTGGACATTCTGCTTTACTTATTTCCAACCTGACTGTTCCCATACAGAGTTGTGTTAAGCCTCCTTACATGCTGTTAGTGGGAAATAACAAAATTTGGACGAACAATCAAACTGTCCAATGCATTAATTGTCAGTTATACACTTGTATTAACTCCCATTTTGACTCTAGGAAAAGTATAGTGTTGGTTTGAGCTCAAGAAGGAATCTGGATTCTGGTAACTTTGCCCAGACCTTGGGAATCCTCCCCCCAATACATTTAATTAATGAAGTGTTACAGCAAATTCTAAAAAGATCTAAGAGATTTGTTTTCACTTCAATCGCTGTGATCATGGGCCTAATTACAGTTGCTGCACTGGCCAGCACTACCGGAATGACATTACATCAATCTATTCAAACGGCTCATTTTGTTAATAATTGGCAAGCCAATTCCACCCAAATGTGGAATTCTCAACAAGGCATTGATCAAAAATTGGCTAATCAAATTAATGATTTAAGACCGTCTATTAATTTGGCTTGGAGATCGGGCAGTGAGTCTCGAACATCACATGCAAATGCAGTGCGGTTGGAATACCTCTGCTTTCTGTATCACCCTGTATTCCTATAACAAGATTGATCATTCATGGGAAATGGCCAAAGGACACCTTCTGGGTAGGGAAGATAATTTATCATTGGACATAACTAAATTAAAGAAACAAATTTTTGAAGCCTTTCAAGCTCACTTATCCATTGTGCCTGGAGCTGAGGCCTTAGATCAGGTGGCAGAAAATCTTTATGGACTAAACCCCACGACTTGGGTTAAGTCTATTGGGGGCTCAACTGTAGTAAATTTTGGAATTATGTTTCTCTGTTTAATCGGCTTGTCTTTAGTGTGCCAGACCAGTCAAAGAATCCTGCGTCAAAATTGAGAGAATGAACAAGCCTTCATCGCCATGGCACATTTATATAAAAAGAAAAGGAGAGATGTTGTGGGAAGTCAGGGACCCTGAACGGAAGGACCAGCTGAAGCCGCAGCAGAAGAACATAAATTGTGAAGATATCATGGACATTTATTAGTTCCCCATATTAATACTTTTATAATTTCTTATTCCTGTCTTTACTGCAATCTCTGAACATAAATTATGAAGATTTCATGGACTCTTATCAATTCCCCAATCAATACTCTTGTGATTTCCTATGTCTGTCTTTAATCTCTTATTCCCATCATCTTCATAAGCTGAGGATGAATGTCACCTCAGGACCCTATGATGATTGCGTTAACTGCACAAATTGTTTAAACAATATGAAATCTGGGCACCTTGAAAAAAGAACAGGATAACTGCGATGTTCAGAGAACAAGGGAGATAACCTTAAAGTCTGGCTGCCTGTGGGCCGGGTGGAACAGAGCCGTATTTCTCTTCTTTCAAAAGCAAATAGGAGAAATATCGCTGAGTTCTTTTTCTCAGCAAGGAACATCCCTGAGAAAGAGAATGCGTTCCTAAGGGGAGGCCTCTGAAATGGCTGCTTGGGGAACGTCTGTCTTTTATGGTTGCAGATAAGGGATGAAATAAGCCCTGATCTCCTGTAGCACTCCCAGGCCTATTAGGACAAGGAAATTCTTGTCTAATAAATTTTGGTCTGACTGGTTGTCTGCTCTCAAACCCTGTCTCCTGGTAAGATGTTATCAGTGACAATGCGTGCCCAAAACTTCATTAGCAATTTTAATTTCACCCCGGTCCTGTAATCTCACCCTGCCCCCATTTGCTTTGTGATATTTTATTACCTTGTGAAGCATGTGATCTCTGTAACCCACACACTATTCGTACACTCCTTCCCCTTTTGAAAATCACTAATAAAACTTGCTGGTTTTGCAACTTAGGGGGCCATCATGGAACCTGCCTACATGTGATGTCTCCCCCGGACACCCAACTTTAAAATTTCTCTCTTTTGTACTCTTTCCCTTTATTTCTCAGACCAGTCAACACTTAGGGAACATAGAAAAGGACCCACGTGAAATATCGGGGGCTGAATTTCACCCAATAAATATCATAAATTTTAGTTTTACCTTGGTAAGCTCGTGTGACATAAAAGTCCTCTAGGTAAAGTACCTTGCCAATCCATGAGTCATATGTGAAGTAGTACATGGCAAATCCAACAGTCAATTTGCCTAGGAAGGGAGTAGAAAGGGTGTAGAAAGGTTGTGTTGAATCTTAGCCAGTTCTTTACCCCCAAATTGAATGTCTTTTGGTGTTTGTTTAACTATTAAAGTAATAAATGCTCATTGAAAAAAAAATAACAGTACAAAAACTTATAGTGTAGAGGACTTAAGTCCTTTAAAATATAACCTTTAAGATATAAGCCTTCTTTTTATAGTGTGGTGTATGATCTTCCAAAAAATTTTAGCTGGGCGCAGTGGCTCATGACTGTAATCCCTGTGCTTTGGGAGGCCAAGGCAGGAGGGCCAGTTGAGCTCAGGAATTTGAGACCAGCCTGGGCAACACTGTGATACCCTGTCTCTACAAAAAATAATTTTAAACTAGTTGGACATAGTGGCACATATGTGTAGTCCTAGCTACTTGGGAGGCTGAGACACTTGTGCACAGGAGTTTAGTTGGAGGCTGCAGTGAGTCATGATCATGCCACTGCACTCCAGCCTGGGTGACAGAGCAAAACCCCATCTCTTAAAAATTTATAATAATAATAATGCTTATACAAACATAAGTACATATCATGCATATTCTTTACCAAAAACTGGGTTTATACACATTCTTTTCTCTTCTGCTTAATAGTAATTATATGCTGCAAAACTGTACTATTTTTCAGCATGGAAAAAATATATTCCAGATTAAACTGGAGAAGAAAGATTTACTCTACCTGATGGTTTTTGTTGCTCATTTACTTCTGCAATCAGGCAGTAGAAAAGGGGATTGTCCCCAAAGCCATCTCTGAGTAAATCTGAAATATCAATTCATATATAGTATGTCAGAAAGTTTACAGCAGAGAAGGAGATGGTGGATAGGAAGTACTAGGAATTTATCCACCTGGATAGCAATTGTATTGGCAGAAACTAAAGTGAGTATTTTGGAACTCTGGAGTTTATCTGAACATTTGCAACTTACAGGAGACAGCCTGACTGGTCAACTGCAGTTAATTTGGATCAAATTCAGCCATCAGTGAGGTGGCAGCTACCCAGCAATCAACACCATCTACTCCATGGGAACAGCAACCTGTATTTCTGTAGTAGTTTGCTGGAACCAGGGTGATCAATAAACATCTTGTCCTCAAAATACTGAAGTTCTGTGTTTTGACTGTGTATTGTTACTCTGATCACTGAGGTGAGGACTTGGAAACCCCCACAAGCTGAAGTGGCTTCCAGGAGATTTAAAGGAGCTGCCTTGTTTTGTGAGAGATTTGGGAATTAAAAACATATATACAGGAGAATTTAGAAAGTTACCATGTGTGACTAGATAAAGACACAGAGGGGACCTGAGAACACATTAAGCTTTCAACTCAGGCTGATTTGTGACACAGAGACACCCTGTAATGCTTTAAAATAAACTCCATCAAATCCTGAGGGAAAAGGATAATCTGATTTCCAAAGTTACCATAGTATTAGTTTCAAAGTCTAGCTTTCAACAAAGATCACAAGAAACGATGGTCATTCAAAGGAATAAAATACATTAACAACATACCTGAAGAAAGCCAGATGTTTGACTTACTAAATAACCTAAAACATCTGTCTTAAAGATGCCCAAAGAGATAAAAGAAGACATGCACACAGGAAAAAAAAATATATAAACAAAATAACATAGATATAAATTTACAAAAATCCTCCCCCTAACATTCTGAAGCTTAAAAGTACAATAACTGAAATGGAAAACAAACAACAACAAAAAAACCATACTGGAGGGGTTCAAAGACACATTTGAATAAGTTGAAGAAAGAATCCGTGAACTTGAAACTAGGCCAGGTGAAATTATTGAGTCTGAAAAACAGAAAAGGGATGAGGAAAAGTGAACAAAGCCAGAAGTGTCTGTGGGACATCATCACCATTAAGTGGAACAGGATATATCTTGTGGGACAGGAGAGAGAGAGAGAGACAGAGAGAGAATGAGAATGAATGAGAATTTGAAAAAACTGCTGAAAACAAAATTTGACGTAAAACATGAATCTACAATTACAAGAAGCTTAACAAACTCTAAGTAGGATACACCCAAAGAAATCCACACCAAGACACATTATAATGAAAGTCTCAAAAACCAGACAGAGAATACACAGCAAGAGAAGCAATTTGTCATATATGAGGGTCCTCAATTAGATTACCATCTGATTTCCTGTCAGAAACCTTGGAAGCCAAAAAGCAGTGGATTGATATTTAAAGTCTGAGGAGTGGGAGGAGTTGGGACTGTCAGCTAAGAATTTTATATCCACCAAAACTGTCCTTCAAAATGACGGAGAAATTAAGACATTCCCAGACACCCCTTCCCCGCCCCCGCAAAAAAAAGAAACTGGAGGAATTCATTACCATTAGACCTGCCCAAAAAGAAATGCCAAAAGGAGTCTTTCAGGTTGAAATGAAAGTAATCTAGACAGTAACTGAAAGTTGTATGAATAAAGATTTCTGGTAAAGACAGATATATGAGCAATTATAAGAGGTAGTATTGTAATTATGTTTATACAGTTGACCCTTGAACAACATGGGTTGGAACTATGCAACTACACTTACACATGGATTTTTTTCAAACACAAATCAAAAACAATATTCATTGGAGGAGAAACCCACATATACAGAGGACTGACTTTTCATATATGTGAGTTCAGTAGGACTCACTGCGGGACTTGAGTATGCATGGATTTGGGCATATGCAGTGGGTCCTGGAACCAATCTCCTGCATATACTGAGAGATGACCCTAACTCCATGTTTTGTTTTCTACATTATCTAAAAGACAAATGGATAAAAATAATTATTATTTTTTTTAATTTTTTTGAGACAAGTCTTGCTCACCCAGGCTGGAGTGCAGTGGCATGATCTCAGCTCACTGCAATCTCTGCCTCCTGGGTTCAGGCAGTTCCGGTGCTTCAGCCTCCCATGTAGCTGGGACTACAGGCACCTGTCACCATGCGCAGCTAATTTTTTTTAAGTATTTTTAGTAGAGATGGGATTTTGCCATGTTGGCCAGGCTAGTCTCAAACTCCTGGCCTCAAGTGATCCACCCACCTCAGCCTTCTAAAGTGCTGAGGTTACAGGCGTGAGCCACCATGCCCAGCCTAATGTATGTTATTGGGCACACAATGTGTAAAGATGTAATCCCTGACATCAATAACAGAAGATGGGGACAGAGATATATATAAGAAGAATTTTTGTATGCTATTGAAGTTAAGTTGGTTTAAATCAAAATTAGATTGTTGTAACCATCAAATATCCCCATGGTAAACAAAAAAAGTCTATAAAATATACACATAAGGAAATGAGAAGGAATCAAAATGTTTCACTACAAAAATAAAACACAAAAAAAGGACTAATGGAGGAAAGTAGGGACTACCAAAAGCTTTAAGGCATATGGAAAACAGTTAAATAGTACAGGCGAGTCCTTCCTCATCAGTAATTAAATGTAAATGGATTAAATACTCCTGCCAAAACACAGAGATAGCCAGAATAGATTAAGGACAACAAACAAACAAAAAAATGATCCAATATATACTGTCTACAAGAGACATACTGTAGATCCAAAGTCACAAATACGTTGAAAATGAAATGATGGAAAAATATATTTCATGCAAATAGTAACTAAAAGAGAGCTAGGGTGGCTATACTAGTATCAGACAAAATAGGCTTTAAGTCAAAAACAGTTACAAGAGACAAAGTACATTATGAAATGATAGAGGGGTTAATTCACCAAGAACATATAACATTTATAAATATACATGCATTGAACATCACAGCTCCAAAATATATGAAGCAAACACTGACAGAACCGAGAGAAGTACACAGCAAGACAATAATAGGAGATTCAATACCCCACTTTCAGTAATATATAGGACAACCAGACAGAAAAGTAGATGACTTGAACACTATAGACCAATTGTACCTAACAGACATATACATAAAGTTCTATCCAACTACAACAGAGTACACATTTTTTTCCCTCAAGTACACATGGAACTTTCTTTAGGATAGATACATTAGGTCACATACCAAGTCTTAATAAATTTTAAAATATGAAAATCACACACAATATTTTTTCTAATGACAGTACAATGATACTAGAAATCAGCGGGAAAAAAATTTGAGAAATTTACAAATATGTGGAAATTAAACAACACACTGTACACAACCAATGGGTCAAAGAGGAAAGTATAAGGGAAATAGGAAAACATTTAGATGAATGAAAATGAAAACACAACAAACACGCTTATGAGATGTAGTGAAAGTAGTGCTCAGAGGGAAAATTATAGCTGTAAATGCCATTTTAAAAAATGATCTAAAACAATAATCTAACTTTATGCCTTAAGGAACTAGACAAAGAAGAGCAAACTAAGCCCAAAGCTTGCAGAAAGAAGATAATAATAAAAATTGGATAGAGATAAAACAGAGGATGGAAAAACATGGAGAAAATCAATGAAGGTTGATTATTTGAAAAGATCAACAAAATTGACAGCTAGACTGACAAAGAGGATGCAAATAATTAAAATCAGAAAAGAAAATAAGGACATTACTGCCAACACTACAACATTAAAAGGGAGTATAAAAATATTATGATTTATATAACAACAAATTAGAAAACTTAGAAGAAATGGACACATTCCTTCAAACATGCAAATTACCTAGACCTACTTAAGAAGAAACAGAAAATCTCAACAGACCTGCAAGACTTTGAATCAGTAATCAAAGATCTCCCAACAAAAAAAAGTAAGGAACCAAATGGCCTCATCAGTGGTGAATTCTACCAAACATTTACAGAAGAATTAATACCAGTCTTCCTCTAACTCTTCCCAAAAATTTAAGAGACGGAAGCACTTTATAATTAATTCTGTGAGGTCAGCATTACTCTGATTCCAAAGGCAGTCAAAGATATTAGAAGAAAGTTACAGGCCAATATTCCTTAATAATATAGTTTAAAAACTTCTCCACAAAATTGGAAATTGAACCCAACAGCATATTAAAGGGATTATTCACCATAATCAAGTGTGATTTATCCTAGGAATGTAAGGGTGCAGCAACATAAGAATATCAATTTAATACATCATTTTAATGAAACAAAGGGGGAAAACCCACAAAATCAAATCAATGAATGCCAAAAAAGCATTTGACTAAAGCACAACACTTTCAAGATAAAAGCTTTTATAAAACTAGGAATAGAGGTACATTCCTCAACATGATACAGTGTACTTATGAAAACGACATTACATTTAATGGTGAATGACTGAAAACACTCCCCCTTAAGATTAGGAAGAAGGCAAAGATGCCCACTTTCACCACTGGTATTCAACATTGTACTGGAAGTTATGGCCAGAGCTATTAGACAAGAAAAATAAAAAAAAACCATTCATAGGCAAGGCCCAGTGGCTCACGCCTGTAATCCCAACACTTTGGGAGGCCAAGGCAGGTGGATCACCTGAGGTCAGGAGTTCGTGACCAGTCTGGCCAACATGGTGAAACTCCATCTCTACTAAAAATACAAAAATTAGCCAGGCGTGGTGGCATGCGCCTCTAATCCCAGCTACTCGAGAGGCTAAGGCAGGAGAATCACTTGAACCTGGGAGACGGAGGTTGCAGTGAGCTGAGATTGTGCCAGTGCACTCCAGTCTGGTCAAGAGAGCAAGACTCTGTCTCAAAAAAAAAAAAAAAAAAAAAAAAAAAAATCCATAGTAGAAAGGAAAAGCTAAAACTATCTCTATTTGCAGATCACATGATTCTATATAGAGAAAATTCCAAAGAATCTAAGAGAAATCTTCTAGAGCTATAAACAAATTCAGCAAAATTGCAGGGTACAAGATCAACAAACAAAAATAAGTTGTGTTTCTATATAGCAGCAAAAAACAAACCAAAAAATAAATTAGGAAAGTAGTACCACTTACAATAACCCCTAAAAGAATTGAATACCTAGGAATAAATCTAATCAAGGAGGTTAAAAACTTGTATACTGAAAGCTATAAAACATTGCTGAAAGAAACTGGAAAAGATCCACAGAAATTTAAAAAAAAAAAACACCTATATATGCATAGGAAGACAACATTGGTAGGATACCAATACTATTCAAAATGATCTACATATTTAATGCAGTCCCTATTAAAATTCTGACAGCCTTTTTCACAGAAACAGAAAAGCTGATCCTCAAATTCATATGGAATTCCAGGGGCCCCCGAAGAGCCAAAACAATCTTGAAAACAAAAAATAATATTGGAGGACTCACACTTCCTGACTTTGAAACTTATTACAAAGCTACAGCAATTAATACTGTAGGGTAGTGACAAAAGGACAGACATATAGACCAATGGAACAGAATGGAGACCTCAGAATCAAACCCTCACATATCTGATCCATTGATTTTTGACAAGGGTGCTATGACCATTCATGGGGAAAAGGACTGTCTTTTCAACAAACAGTACTAGAGAAACTGAGTATCTATATGCAAATAATGAAGTTGGACCCTTAACTTCACAGCATGTACAAAATGTAACTCAAAATAGATCAAATACCTCAACATAAGTGCTCAATCTATAAAACTCTTAGAAGACACATGGAAAATCTTCAAGACATTGGATTTGGCAATTATTTCTTGGATATAACACCAAAAGCACAAATGACAAATGGATAAATTGGACTTTATCAAAAACAAAATACTTTGTATGTGAAAGGACAATATCATGAACAAAAAGGCAACCCATGGAATGGGAGAAAGTATTTGGAAATAACATCCGATAAGGGGTTAATATCCAGACTATATAAAGGACTCCTACAATTCAACAACAACAAAAAACCAACTCAATTCCAAAATGTGGGAATATCATAAATAGACACTTCTCAAAGAAGATATACAAAGAGTCAATAAGCACATGAAAAGGTGTTCAACATCACTAATCATTAGTGCAATGCACATCAAAATACAGTGAGATAGCACTTCATACAGACTAGGATGGGTATTACAAAAAACCAAAAATAAGTGTTGATGAGGATGTGGAGAAATTAGAACTCTTGTGCTTTGCTAATGAGAATGTAAAATGATGCAACTGTTGTGGAAAACAGTATGGAGACTCCTCAAAAAAAAAAAAAAAAATTGTCATATGATCCAGAAATCCACTTCTAGGTATGTGCCAAAATAATGAAAGCAGCAACTCAGACAGATATTTGTACACCAATGTTTCACAGCAGCATTATTCACAATAGCCAAAATTTGGAAACAGCCAAAATGTATAAAAGGATAAACAAAGTTATATATATATAATCACATTTTATATATACACAATGGAATGTTATTCAGCTTTGAAAAGGAAAGAAATTCAGATACAGGCTACCACTTGGATGAAACTTGAAACATTATGCTAAGTGAAATAAAGTAGACACACAAGGACAAATATTCCATGTTTCCAGTCATACGAGGTACCTAGAATAGGAAAATTGGTAGAGATGGAAAGTAGAATAGTAGTTATGAGAGCCTAGGGGGAGGTCGGCCGGCAATGGGGAGTTATTGTTTAATGATTACAGAGTTTCAGTTGGGTGATGGAAAGGTCTGGAGATGGATAGTGGTGCTGGTTGCACAACAATGGATGTATTGAATGTCACTGAATTATACAGTTACAAATAGTTAAAATGATATGTGTATTTAATCACATTTTTTAGAAGTTTGCAATAATAGGTAAGAGTAAACAAAAATCAAATCTCTCACTGGCCTCTATACAAGTACATAAGGACATTTTAAGATAAAAACAGGACTGAGGACATTATGAAATTACTGCAATTTAAATATATACTGAAATCCTAAGGCAGGATGCTGGAGTATACAAAGTATTTTAGTTGTGACTGTTACATATTACCCTGAGCAGTATTTTTCTAACTACAACGAATAGTGTAGGGGCATTATCTTAACATAGTACAGATTGAGTATTCCTTATCCAAAATTCTTGAGACCAGAAGTGTTTTCAATGTCTGATATGTTTTTGATTTTTAAAATATGTCATTATATACTCAACAGTTGAGCATCCCTAATCTGAAATCTGAAATGCTCCAATGAACACTTCCTTTGAGTGTAATGCGAGTGCTCAAAACGTTTCTGATTTTGGAGCATTTCAGATTTCAGATTCTCAGGTTAGGGATGCTCAATTTGTTATGCTGCTGCAGTTTGAGTACTGCTTTCATAGAGTGTGCATTACTTTCAACTTTGTATTTCTTACTATTTCTTTTAAGCCAACAAAATTACTATTTAGTTAACATTCTAGTGGTGTTAATTGTCAAGTATAAGAACATAAGTATCATCACATAAGACGACTGATCCATGATCTATGCGGTTCAGGGTTCTATTTCTGACCAAGGCACTAAGACTCATTTGTTAGGGCATGGCGCAAAAGACTCCACAAACATCCCAGAACTTCCTTCTGAATCTGTCACCCAGTATTATAGTGAAACTATTTATCTCCTTGGTAGAATGTTCTCAGTTTATTACATGCATTCTGAAGTATTCAACTTCAGGGAGTTATCCTTCATCAATTCTTCTAGATTTTGATAACTGTCTTCACCTAGTCTTTGCCATTTGTAATTTTATATACATTAATAATCTTTTCATCTTCATATTTACTCCCTAAAATGTTCTAATTCTTCACAAATCACTGGCCTATCCTATTAATCTTGCTATCGATATGTAGTAAATACTTTGAAAATATTTTAAATCATTTTGCTTTTATCGATTTCATTGTATCAAGCTACTACCAACATACTGGGTGTTAAATTATACTTTTTTGACCAGTAACGCTCCTCATTTTACATTCTGAAAACCAGCTGGTCTATTGCAGCTGTAAAGGTGTAAGAGCTCTTAAGTATCAATGTTGTACTAAAAATAAGGAAAATAAAATAGTGGAGCTCTGACAAAGCTATCAAATGTATGTCCTGTACATGCTAGTAATGGTGTCATCTTTGAGTACCAAGAGCAATAGCTTCCACATATCTAAGTAGTACTGTGTGTTTTTTTTCTTGCTCTGAAAATACCACAAAGTATCTTACCAGCTGCTGTTAACTCCATTGCATCTAGCATGCTTTCACAGGCAGCCAATTCCTGTCAAAGTAGATAAAACCTTCAGTTTATGATTTAACAATAAATTATTAAGATGATAATCATCATAAAATTTGTGTTAAACATTTATTGGCATGTGATATCCTGGGCAGTGTTAAAAGTTAGTCAGACTTAATCCCAGTCATCTAGAAACAAAATCTAAAACAGTAATGCAACGAAAGGATGTATAAATATTATTAGAGAGATTAACTATGTTGATACCTCACACATATGAATGTCAATTATCCAGATTAGTAACCTTGAATGCAGCCAGAAACTGAGAAGTAAAGCAAAAAATGTTACTGAGCATTCAAGGCAGCTGTCATAAAGTTTATGTATTATGAAGCTCATAGGCTTTACAGAGAAGTCTCTCAGGTGTTTGCCTGTGAGATGTTTTTGCCATTTTAACTTGAGGCTTTTTTATTGTGGCTTTTTACTATATCATGGTTTTTTTTTTTTTTTTTTTTTTTTTTTTTTTTTTTTTTTTTTTTTTTACATATTCAGGTTCTTTTCCTTCACGGTTTATATCTCATGCTTGGAAAGCAAAAGGTATTCACTCATTTTCTTTTTAAGATCATAATATTAATAATTTATTTGTTCAACTTTTTTTGGTGTAAGACGTTAGGTAGAATTTCACCTTTATCTTTTCCTCCCAATTATCCCAACAGCACTTACTGAATAACCCATCCTGGATGACTCGACATGTCCCTTTTATCATATATTACATCCTCATTTACAGTCATCCCTTTGTATCCATGGGAGATTAGTTTCAAAACCTGCTCCCTCAGCCCCAGGATACCAAAATCTGAGAGTGTTCAAGCCCCTTATATAGCAGAGTATTTGCAATACCCTATGTATATCCTCTCATATACCTTAAATCATCTCTGGATTACTTATAATATCTAATACAATGTAAATATTATGTAAATAGTTATACTGTATTGTATAGGGAATAATGACAAGAAAAAAGTCTGTACATGTTCAGTACAGTTGCAATTTTTACAAATATTTTCAATCCATGGTTGTTTGAATCTACAGATGTAGAAGCCATGGATACAGAAGGCTGACTGCATACTTAAGAGAACTTCTGGACTCTCCTTTCTGTCCCATTGATCTATCTATCCACTAGTTACCATAGTATTTTAATTACTTACAGTTTTATAATGTCTGGTATAGATCATCTCCCCTCATTACTCTTCTTTTTTGGATTTTTAAAATGTGTCTATGTGAAAATTTAGAGATTTTGACTGGAATTGCATTAAACTTTTAATGGAAATAAGCTTTTAAAATACAGGAGAACAGCAAGGACCAGATTACACAGAGCATTAGTAAAAAGTTTGGATTTTATTCTCAAGACAACCAGAATCTCAATGGAATTTTAAGCATTTTGACTGCTGTGTAAAGAATGGATTGATCAGGGAGGACAATATTTATGTTGATACCTCCCCTAAGACGCTGTAAGCTCCTTGAGGGTAGAGACTGTAATCCAAGAATCCTTATATCTTTTATACTACTTGGTGTATAATCTTCCCCTAATATGCATTCAATGTTTGTACAATGAACAAAAATAAAATATTAATACTACTCAGCACCATCTGTGGTTCACCAATGGTCCAAAACCACACTTTAGGGACCACCACAATATAAAGCTTTAGAAATTCTGGTAAGCAAGAAGTTATGGCTGCCTGGCAATGAAATGACTAGGCTCCCAAATAATGCTGTGATGTGGTGATTGAGAACAGTATAAAATGAGTTCATACAGAGGATACTTGGAATGGAACAGTCAATAAAACCTGCAATATATTCAGCTAAGCAATTACTGTGGTTCAAACTCTAATAAACTCCTCTGCAAAGAGAGACTGTTTTGCAAACTTAGCAATGAACAGGAGTTAGGACAAATGGACATAAAATATTAAGAAGAACATAAAACTCAAAGCCAATTAATCATTATATACATGTATGTGAGACAGTAAGTAATTTAGCTTTTCTATTATTTTTCCACAATGAATACTCATTAAAATTACTCCCAATAAACATCTTACGTATTATCAGATACATGTGACGAATTAAAAAGTAAAAGTGGCCAGAAACCCTACAGATAGTTTCACTGAAATGGGGTAATCTAGTGATGTATTATTCCCTTGGTGATGACAATGGGCATTGCTTGGAAAGCTAGGAAAAGTACATTTGTCCAGGTAAAGAGATCATCATTCAATAATAAATTTATTAATTGCCAACCAGGTGTCAGATGCTAGAACTACAAAAAACTCTTTTAAAAATGTTTTCTACCACCTGGAAGAATGTGAATCTGTAATAATCTGTTGGGCATAGTATTTTGATAGGTTATCTAATCATTCAGATTAATGCCAGTTAGAGAAATGATGTAAGAATTTGTGGAAATGGAATAGAATGTAAGCCATAAAACGACAGATAACCCAGTTCTTACAGATCTGTAACCAGGCCTAGAATCACTTCAACAGGTGGATTTCACTAGAAAACTATGGGTATTTTATTTTGGCCATTAAAACACACTCTCCAAAGGGAACACAAACTTGGCCTGATTTAGACAAGATTTAAATATATTAGTGAGGATATTAAAACATTTTCATTACAAAACACTTATGAGGTCTGCATATCTATAATCTGTGCCTTGCTCCAGCCACATATTTACTCCATAAAGAACTTAATCTACCGCTTTATATGGAATTGTGTAGGTTGTCCATCACATAAACGAGTGCTTTTAGCACCACAGAACTTCAGCACAGTAACTGTGAACTACTAGATATTTTATCCCCTTTAATCAACTGGAATGATTTCCAAGGAAGCCATTCAAATAAACATTTAAATGAGAAATATGTAACCCAGCTGCTTGGCTCCTGAGGGCTGTCTGTGGATGGGCTTCAGTGATCAATGAACTGTCTGAGAATGTATGGAAAATTTGTTGCATGTGACTATTGTTTTTTGGGTTAGCTGATCATCAGTTTCAACAAGTAGGTGTGGCCTTAGAAGCAATGAGACTCCTACCCCAAAATCTTAGCCACTAAAATATGAAATTCTATCATTGGTGGGTCATTTGTTTAAGGTAAGCATTTCTTTTCTCTACGATACTCTTTTAAAGTTAAAATTTTCCCAGGAAACAGAACACATTCAGTCCCTAAAATTTCCAGGAATTGGTTCCCCTATAACTTTTTGAGCCCCTTACTATATGCCAAGCAATTTATGTGTAATCATTTTATGTTACTGTCTCATAACAACAGTCTTTTGAGATATATATTGTTATAGTCTTAATTTTAGATGCAGAAAATGAAGAGTAAAGAGGTTAAGTAACTACCAGAGGTTATGTACACATAACTAGCAGAGGCAGAATTCGAACCCCAACTATGCCTCTCTTACTCTTTCAGCCCTACACTAATGCCGTGAGGCTCCATGTAATAAAAATGGGCTTACTTTAATCAGTCGCAAAATTTCTGGGCAGTCTCCAGCCTCTGCAGGTCTTATTTGAAAATAATCCATGCTTGTCTGCCTCATGCCCATTTGGCTCACACTTGGCTGGCTCCTACCTGGTTGACTCAGGCCTGGTTGGCTCAGTACTAATTGGTCCAGCTCTTGTTGGCTCCCGCCTGGGTGACTCGGCCCCGGTTCCCATATGCCTGGATGACCCCTGCCTGGATGGCTCATGCCTGTTTGGTTCTTTCTTGATTGGCTAGTGCCTGGTTGTCTCATGCCTAGTTGGCTGGGGACTTGCTGGCTCATGCCTGGTTGCCACATGCCTGGTGAACTCATGTTTGGTCGGCTCCGGGCCAGTTGGCTCAGGCCTGTTTGCCATGTGACTCGTTGGCTTGTGCCTGATTGACTGGTGCCTACTTGTCTCATGCTTGGTTGGCTCCTACCTGACTGTCGCCTGTCTAGTTGCCACGTCACTGTTTGGCTTATACCTGATCGGTTCGTGCCTGCTTGGCTCGTACTTGATTGGCTGGGGCCTGATTGGCTTGTGCCTGGTTGAGATGGGCCTGGTTGGCTTGTGCTTGCTTTGCTCAGGAATAGTTGGTTCAGGCTTTGTGGCCACATGCCTGGTTGGCTCCTGCCTGGTTGGCTCCTACCTAATTGCCACGTGCCTGGTTGTTTCATGCCAGGTTGGTTTATGTCTGGTAGGCTTGTACCTGATTGCCTTATGCCAGCTTGGCTCATGCTTGGTTGTTTCATATCCACTTGGTTCATTTCATATAGGCTTGCACTCAGCTGGTTCATGTTCAATTGGTTCACACCATGTAAGCTTGGGCTTGGCTGGTTTATACCTGTTTGGTTGGAATCTGATAAACTTGATTGGTTTGCACCTGGTTGGCCCATGTCTGTTTGGTTCTTACATGATTGGCTAGTGCCTGGTTGCCTCATGCCTGGTTGGCTGGGGACTTGCTGACTCATGCCTGGTTGACTTGTGTCTGGGTGGCTTGGGACTTGCTGACTCATGCCTGGTTGACTCATGTCTGGGTGGCTTGGGACTTGCTGGCTTATGCCTGGTTGCCACATGCCTGGTGGACTCATGTTTGGTTGGTTCAGGACTGGTTGGCTCAGTCCTGTTTGCCATGTGCCTGGTTGGCTCAGGCTTATTTGGCTTGTGCCTGATTGGCTGGTGCCTACTTGTCTGGTGGTTGGTTGGCTCCTACCGGACTGGCTGTCTAGTTGCCCCACCACTGGTTGGCTCATACCTGATTGGTTCGTGTCTACTTGCCTCATGCTTGATTGGCTGGGGCCTGATTGGCTTGGGCCTGGTTGCGATGGGCCTAGTTGGCTTATGTCTGCTTTGCTCAGGACTAGTTGGCTCAGTTCTTGTTGCAGCATATCTGGTTGGCTCCTACCTAATTGCCACGTGCCTGGTTGTTTCATGCCAGGTTGGTTTATGTCTGGTAGGCTTGTACTTGATTGCCTCATGCCAGCTTGGCTCATGCTTGGTTGTTTCGTGTCCACTTGGTTCATTTCATGTAGGCTTGCACTCTGTTGGTTCATGTCCATTTGGTTCATACCAAGTGAGCTTGTGCTTGGCTGGTTTATGCCGGTTTGGTTCGAATCTGATAAACTTGATTGATTCGTGCCTGATTGGTTCATGCCCTGTTGATTCCTGCTTGGTTGACTAAGGATGGGGTGGCAGATGATGGGTTGGCAGACAACTGATTGGCTGATGGCTATCTTGATGGAACAGGATCCCTTAACTGTAGTGCTGTGGTGGGAGGTTGTTGGCTGTGGCTGTTTCCAGTTCTTCTCAACTTGATTCGCCCACTTTGAGATACCCCTCTATCAAGGTGGGAATTGGAAAAAGAGAGGACCACCTCAGGAAGGTTATTAATGCCTCCGATTTGCTGGAGTTGACTTCACCAGCGACCACAGCTGCAATCTTGGCTGAGTTTCAGGTTGTCATCTGGCCTTTCCCTGCCGAAAGCGGGGAAGTAAAGGGAAGAAGAAAGTGATCTTGGAGGAGTATAACCACCAGCCTGCCCTTGCATGGTCACTGCATCATAGTGCCGAAGTCACAATGCCGGTATCAAAGTGCCTACGTGCTCCCCCGCGTGGTGAGGGAGGGGCAAAGCAGGGCTCGCTTGACCACTTTATTTCATCCTCTCTTAAGAGCTTAAAATGGTGAAACAAGAGGCTGGAAAGAGTCTCAGAACTTATGCTTGGCACTCCCAAGAGTCCCTGCTGTTTTAGCCAATTCAAAGAAACTTGCCCCAACTCCCCTCCCTTTCCCTACATCCCATTCCTCAAATAATTCAATTCCTATTTCCGTCCTGATTTTTCACTTACACTGGAAACTAGTCCCAGTGAAGTGCTCAAGTCTGGAATGCAGATAATACGTCTTTAAAAATAATAATAGCTGGGCTGGACGTGGTGACTCACGCCTGTAATCCTAGCACTTTGGAAAGCCGTGGCGGGTGGATCGCCTTGGGTCAGGAGTTCGAGACCAGCCTGGCCAATATAATGAAACCCCACGTCTACTAAAAATACAAAAAATTAGCTGGACATGGTGGCAGACACCTGTAATCCCAGCTACTCGGGAGGCTGAGGCAGGAGAATTGCTTGAACCCAGGAGGTGGAGATTGCAGTGAGCCGAGCCGAGATCGCACCATTGCACTCCAGCCTGGGCAACAAGAGTGAAACTCTGTCTCAAAAATAATAGTAATAATAATAGCTACAGCTAACATTTACTAAGTTCTTTTATGGCCTAGGCTTAGTGGAATGTACAATTCATTTTCTTATGCAATCCATATCAACACTATTATCCCCAATTCTGAGGAAACTGACTCAAAAGATTTGGTTACCTCCCCAAGGCTTCGTAAAAGTTGGTGGAGAGCCTGAATTCAGACCCAGATCTATCTTTCCAGGCTTTTTATTATTACTCTGTCCTGCCTCTTAAAACACATTCTACTCATTCTCCATCCTCATATCGGTGAGGTCAGGTATTTTGTCCTTTTACCTCTTCCCTCTGCAGGATTCATTCTCCCATCATTTTAACTGCTGGCTTACTTCCTGAATAATGTATATTATATAACTGGTTCTAATATTGTTTCAGATGGAATATTGTTTATTTTTTAAATATACCAGAGAACTTTGATTGAGGCTGTTCTAAGTCTCAGCTGTGCTAAGGGCTTTACATATGTATTATCTCATTTAATCATCACAATAACCCCATGATGTATGTACTGTTGTTCCCCATTTTATCAATAAACTGGAATTGAAGTTAACTCAGTTCCCCACGTGTAGTAAACAGAGGAATGGGGATGGGTATCCAAGGCCCATCCCATAGATAGAAACGTTCAATTTAAACTAGAGAGCCCAATCACTATTAGGCCTATGCTAGCTATAAATTGTACCTAGAGAGCCCATCTTCTTAGCATGACAAGCAAATCAAATCACATCGCAGAATTATGTCAAGCTTAATACAAATTAGATGTAGGTATGTTGCTGCTTTTCATCTACCTTATAATAAAAACAAGAGCTAATATTTAGTGAATTATTTCTGCAGTGTTAGGCATGGTTCTAAGGAATACTTGTATTAACCCAATCCTCAAAACAATCCAGTGGGGTAGGAGATAGTCTTATCCCCATTTTTCAAGTAAAGAAACAGATCGAGAGAGGTTAAGTAAGTTGACATAGGTCACACAGCTAAAAGTCCAGACAAAACAAGGAAAACCCAGTTATTTTGTTTTCTTCTGAAATTCAGGCAAAGAGATGAGGTAATTTTGCTGTTTACTTTACAAAATCAAACAATTTGCATAATTTATTGTGAGATTAGATGAAGTTTGTCTTTTGCTTTCTTAGAGGAAGAGGCAAGTAATAGGTTTCTGGTTGATGTCTTTAATAAGTAAAGTTAGAAAAATGCAATTTCATAACCTAGAATTGGTTAACGAGTTTATTTTGCATTTTCTTTACATGCGTTGAAGACTATTTAGATATTTGTTTTTTGTTATTTTAAAATAATATTTGGTTTGAACATTTGTGTTTTTAACATTTGTGTTTTTAAGGGAACATACACAAAATATATTTTTGCTTAAAATTACTTATTAGAACAATTTGTCCCATCTTGGAAACTCAGAATAAGACTGGCTCCATCAAACATTCAAAAATCCACTTTAATTGATACACCATTAGGGAAAATACAGTTTTTAAAACGATTTTTTAAAAAGCTTCAGTAGTCTGTCATTGCCACAAGGCGGCAGTATTATCCAGTGTAGGAACCAAAAATCTAAGTAATATTGTAAGCTTGTTTATATTTCATAAAAGTATACATGTTATTTGAATTTGAAGGGTTTTTTTTCCAGATATTAACAGAAAAATTTTAAAAGCCTAATTTTAGTTTTAACATACTATTTTATTAAAGATCTAGTTTAGGTAGTGAGTTTTGTAGGCCAAGACTTCTGAAATTCTTTTTCTAAAACTTCAAAATGTACATGCATTGTCTGCTCTACCAAAATGTTTTGAATTAATATAATATATGAAGCCACCCCTCAGAGATCCATAATATGTACAATCTCCTTTTTCTGTAGGTGCTAAGTAAAATCCAGACCCTGTTAGTAGCAGAATGTATCCAAATCATGAGACAACAAAGCATGTTACCTGCAGCAAATTTGTAAGGGTCTGCAACAACCTCAATTCTTGCTTCCCCAGAGGAAAGAATTAGACTGAGGGGCATAAGGCAGAAGAAGAGACCGAGACAAGTTTTAGAACAGGAGTGAAAGTTTATTAAAAAGCTTTAGAGGCCAGGTGCGGTGGCTCAGGCCTGTAATCCCAGCACTTTGGGAGGCCAAAGAGGGTAGATCAATAGAGGTCAGGAGTTTGAGACCAGCCTGGCCAACACGGTGAAACCCTGTCTGTATTAAAAATACAAAAAATTAGCCAGGCGTGGTGGTGGGTGCCTGTAATCCCAGCTACTCAGGAGATTGAGGCAAGAGAATTGCTTAAACCTGGGAGGTGCAGGTTGCAATGAGCTGAGATCGTGCCACTGCACTCCAGCCTGGGTAACAGAGTGAGACTCTGTCTCAAAAAAAGAGCTTTAGAGTGAGAAGAAAAGGAAGTAAAGTACACTTGGAAGAGGGCCAAGCAGGTGACTTGCGGGGTGAAGTGCACTGTTTGACCTTTGACTTAGGGTTTTATATGTTGGCTTACTTCTGGGATCTTATGTCCCTTTTCCACCGATTCTTCCATTGGGCGGGGCTGTCTACATGCACAGTGGTCTGCTACCGCTTGGGAGGGGCTGAATGTGCAGTGTGTTTACTGGAGTTGTACGCATGCTCACTTGAGGCATTCTTCCCTTACCAGCCAAATATTCCTAGAGGGTCATATACCAGTTAGACTCTGCCATTTTACTTTTAATGTGCATGCTTGAGCCCACTCACCCAACTCCTGAGATCTTATTGGGAAGATGCTGATCACCAGTTTCAGGTTTTTCTGTCTATAGGGAGACTGCCTTTCCTGGTGCCAACTGTGACTAATTATTATGTCAGCAAAACAGTTAACAACTGCCTGACCATCACCTGATGGTGTCCTGACATTCCTGGTCAGGGGGGCTCTCCTGCCCTGCTCATGTCTGCCTGACTACCTACTATAACATTTCCCCCATCAAGAGTTCAAGACCCTAATTCTTTGGGGAAAATGAATGAAAATAAGTCTTCTGTAACTGCTTCCTTTTTCCTTCTGATTGTGCGGGGCTGGTGGTGGTGGTTCTGTGGGTCTTGGACTCTTGCTACCTGTCAGGGCAGGATGGCTCCATAGGTTAGTGAAAGTGGTATCTAGCTAGGTCCAAGGGAGACAGGGCCAGAATTGTGCCTCTGTCGTGTCCCACTGATAGGTAGTCTAGGGTTTTTCTGTAAAAGGGTGACTCTTGAATATTGAGAGGACGATATCCCTCACTGAGAATCATTTGGAGCATGATGGCCTGAAGGCAAGAGGAGACAAATCAGGTTATTATTTGGAAGAATGTCAAACCAAAATAATAGGCTGCAGATAGTTCCAAAAAATCCTAAGGCTACCAACATGCTGTAGTCATGCCTGCTAAGAGTTAGGTGCATGGGGTTGCTAGCTGATTTCAATATGTGCCCAGAATTAGAGTGTTGATCCACATTTTTGCGTTATCCGTCCCTTTTGTTTCTTCTGAGCTGCAGGCAGAGATCACTAGTTGATTCAGAAGAATAAGCAGGATTAGTCTAAATTGCAGACAAAAACTCAAAAACAACTGGATGAATCTAGAGTCTAATAATAGGTATACTATATTTTTTAAACATAATTTTTCTGTCTCCTGTCCTCATTTGTATTAAAAACAAATCATGATAAGACTGATTTGTTTTGCAAAATAAGCTTAAGTTTTATTATACTTGGCTTATTTGCATAAAGCACAGCAAGAATATTTGCCATATAAGCTCCTTTTAAAATTGGCTTTGATGGAACTTTGTTCCATAAGAAATCTCAGATAAGACTTTTTAAAACCTTAAGCCCAGCCATAGGTGGATGCCATCAAATATCATATGAGTTGGGTAAATTCCTCTCCTCTTGAGATCTCAAGATAACTTGGGGTCCCTGGGCCTGTCAGAAAGTGACATTCTTTACTTACCACAGGT